AGGGCTACAGTTACAATTATAAAAATAAATGAAATAGATCCTTTATGCCCTCTCATCTCTCCTTTCTTCAATATTTTTACTCTTTTCCTTCTCCCAGGGACCCAACGCCTCATGTTGGGTTTCCTTATTTCTCCTTTTACTCCTTCTCTCAGATTTGATATTAATATTAACCCTCCCCTTTTTAAAGGTATTGACACTTTAACAGGGAACTCCAGAAATGGTCCACTCCTCTGATAGACTTGATGTGCCTATGAGTTTTAATGGGAGGAACTCCCTTCAAAGATAAGTCCAATCAATCTTAAAGAAGATTGTTTATCTATAAGAGGATACTTAGGCACAAGAGGAAGTTTCTCCTTGTGCCCTGGACTGTCTGAGCTGTTTTTACTTTCTTATACTTTCACTAAATAATAATGTGCCAAAGAGAAAAAAAAATCTATTTTAAAGTAGCAGCAATCTTATCGTTAAAGGTATCATTATGCCAAATAATGGAATTTCTAATGGAACTTCAAGTGCTATAGTCCCATTGGTGAAGGAAGTAGTTTGGGGTACATCTTTCAAATTGCATCCAAAGGCAACTATGTAATCCACCTAAAGGTAATGGGAGTCCTGGAAGTTGATATGACCTTCACTTCCTCTTAAAAATGCTTAAATTTCTAACCTCTTATTAAGAGCCAATTTTATGAAGAGGCAGTATCCTACAAAATATGATTTCAGGTTTCTAGAGTTGCTAGGTGGAGCAGTAAAGAATAGAGTGCTGGGCTGAAATCAGAAAGACTCATCTTTCTGAGTTCAAATCTAGCCTCAGACTCTTACCAGCTATGTGACCCTGGGCAAGTCACTTCATCTTGTTTGCCTTAGTTCCTCATCTGTAAAATGAACTAGAGAATGAAATGACAAACCACTCCAGTACCTTTGTCAAGAAAACCCTAAAATGGGCTCATAAAAAGGCAGGCACAGCTGAAAATGACTGAACAACAACAAATTAATTCACCCCTCCAAAAAAAAATCCTATCCCTCATAACTCCTGCTGCCTGAAATTCCAAATTTTGAGGTTAATTTCTTTGTCCTCTATTAAAATGTAAATGCCCCTGGAATATGTAACATGTTAAACATGTATAAATATGTAACATATATGTAATACATATTTACCTCCTTACAAATCAATTTAAACATCCTTTTATGAGTACAGATTTGGACAGAGGGAAAGAAGCTTTATCTGGAAAATGAGGACAAAGTGAAGCAGAGGAAAAGGGATAAGAAATGGGAAAGAAAAAAGAAGCCAAGGCACTAAGAATAAGCTATGTCTGAGTTTTGCTTATGGTGTGTCTAATTCCCAGACTTTAAGATCTGCTTCAGTACAAGGAAGAAAACAAACAGTATCATACTTGATTTTCTGCTTATCTTTAGAATTATTCGTTTCTATAGGGAGAAGAGTAGGAAAGGGGAAGTGTTAAATATCCTACAGGATAAAGGAGGATTGTAAGATTGGGAAAAGATTTAGGATTCAACAAATTCAATTCTGATAAACATCAAATACCTACTACCTACTATTTAGCAAAGGGTTTTGCTAAATTCTGGAGATACAAAGATAAAAAACTAATGCAGTCCTTGCCCTGAAGATGCTTACAATCTAAATGAGACATACGATATCTATGTCCAGACATAAATATAGATATAATATACCACTTTATATATATATATGTACATACATATATGAAAACATGTACAACATATTTTATATATGTAGTACATAAATGTACGTATGTCTATATATGTATATGAATACATTGTACAAATGTGTATGCATACACACACAAATAATAATACAAAGCAAAATAAAAAGCACTGGATTTGGATCAGAGGTACTGGGTTCAAATCACAGTTCTAGTGTGACTTTAGGTCACAATTCACTAGCCTTCAGTTTCATCTTCTGTAAATTGAACAGGTTGGACCAAATGAATTTTAAAGTCCCAGTCACAAACCAAAGATGATCTCTAAGGTCTTGAATGAAAAACCCTATCATCCTAAAGGCAGAAAAAATTATTTTAAGAAAATTGGAACTAAGAGAAATCCCTTTCACTTGGACCATCAGGGAAGACTTTGTGGAGGAGTTAATTCCTGAACTGAACCTTAAAGGACAAGAAGGACACTTCACATATTGGAGGAGAAACAGAAGGAATGTGTAATAGGCAAGACACTGCCCAAGGTGCTGGAAATACGAACTAAAAAAATCCTTCAAACACTTTACATTCTATTGTGGGATACCACAGGTAAAATAGTACAGAAGATACTGAGGAAAGAAAAAGCCCTGACAATTGGGGGCATGAGCAAAGACTTCCCAACAACTAGCATGGGCTTTGGGCTTAAGACACAGTGCGGTTGGATGCCTAGAGGCAGGAAAAGGCATGGCAAGATCAGAAATAATTAGTAATGCAGTTTGATTGAAACATAGAATCTAAAAAGGGGAGTAGAATTACAAAGCTGGAAAGGTAGACTGGTGTAGGACTGTGGTTCCAGTTTAAGGAGTTTATAGTTTATTCAAGAAGCCAAAGCAGGGTGGAGGGAGAAAGAATTGAAGGTTTGGGAGCAGGGTGGTGGGGTGACGTGGTTATATCTGGATGGTAGGAAGATTAACTTTGTCAGTCATAATTAGTTGAAAGAGTATTGGATTTCAGGTCTGAAGTCCTGAGTTCAGACTATATTTTGTATGGACCTTAGGCAAGTCATTTCACTTTGATCATCTTGATTTCCTCTTCAGCAAAAAATGAAAACGTTGGACTGGCATCTCTAAGCTCCTCCCAGTTCTAAATCTATGATCTGATTATCCTAAGGAGGTCAGCAAGCCTCTGGAAACATGGGGCTGATGACTTCAGGGCAGATCAACACACAGTATTCCATGGAAAATGTTTGAGGCACCTGCCTGGTCCTCCAAATGGCACCTACTCATTCAAGATTGTGATCATCTGTCATTCACTTAACCTCACCTGTTTCATATTAATAGCCTGGGGTAGTGAAAAGAATACATGGCTCAGGAAAACAGTCACCTTGTTCTGAGACTAATCGAACAGCAATCTCCTATATTAGTTTACTGGCATGTCCATAACTGAAATCCATTCCCTTCTGCATTTTTGCCTACTGACATCCTCTCTTCCTCTAAAGCTTACCTCAGGCATTAGCTAGATAGTTCAGTAGTAGAAATGGATCTGGAATCAGGCAGACCCAATTGGTGTGACAGTTCATTTTGCTGGACTGCTTTTTTCCACCTTTCTTTTTTTTTAATTATTTGTTATAAAAGATATTTCACTCAAGTCCAGTCAACAAGCATTTATTAAGCAGCTACTAGGGCCAGGCACTGGGTAAAGCACTAGAGATACAAAGAAAGGCAAAAAACAGTCCCTCCTCTACAGGACCTTACAGTATAATGGGAAAGAAACATGCAAATAACTACGTACAAAATAGCTGTACAAAATAAAATGGAGATAATCGTAAAAGGAAGAACTAAGATTGAGGAAGAATATAGTACCTGGAAACAGGCAGACCTGAGTTCAAATCCAACCTGTATGATACCAGCTGTATGATCTGGACAAGTCACTTAATCTTTGGTTATCTCAGTTTCCTTATCTTTAAAATGGAGATAATAATAGCACCTACCTGTCTGGGTTGTGGTGAGGATGAAATGAAATATTTGTAAAGCTCTTTGCAGACCATAAAATACTATATAAACACTAGCTATTATTATTATTTACATCCTCCTTGACACCTTCCCAAATCCCTCTGCCTCTTCCCCATCTCCATCTGAAAGGACCACTCCTTCCTTGGATTTTCTTTGGTCACTCTGGATCTCTCCTTTGCCTTCATCACATTCGGTCTTTTATCATGCTTCTTTGTGTACTGTGTATTTGTTTTATCTCAAAACCCCCACTCTAGGCTGTGAACTCCTTGAGACTAGGAACTATGTCAATAGTGCTGGATCTAGAGTTAAGAAACCCAGATTCAGATTCCAGAAATGTCACTTACTAATTGTATCACCTTCAGCAAATTACTCAACCATCATTAGCTTCATATTCTTCTTCCAGTAAAACAAAGATAATAACACTGACACCATCCCCATCTTCACTCTTGCTATGAGGAATGGAGAGACCATAGGATTGGATCAGTGATTTCACTGATACAATGTAATTCCCCAAGAGGAAATTGCCTCTACTAATAAAGGTAAGCACCTTCTCTTCAAGTCAGTTGTCTAGACTGGCAACTTCTACCCTTCCACCAGTGCCATATGCATCTTCTTGAAATTCATAGTCTTAGAGAACTGCCTAGAGCACTGAGAGGTTAAGGAACATGCCTTGGAACACAAGGATATGAAGAAAGGGCTCACAGGAATTTGTCCTATAACCTCAAAGGGATATAAAATGTGTTATTATTACTGTACTTGATTTATGTGAGGAATTTAATAAATGCTTGTTGAGTGGAACCACTGAAGAAAACCATGAAGGTTCCTTCAACTCTGAAAGTCTCTGAAACCAATTAGTATCAGAGCTGGAAAGGACATAAGAGTTAGTCCAACTCCACTTCATTTTACAGATGAGACTGAAAAAGTGATTGACTTGCCTAATGCCGCAAAGGTAATAAGAAGAACCTGTGAATGAAACAAGTTCTTAGACTCCAAATCTAGAACTCTTTTCACTGTTCTATTCTACCTGTCCTGTAGAGAGGTGGGGAAGCTTTTAATAGGAAAAGGGAATGGAGGAGAGGGGAAAGAGGAAGGAAGAAGGGAAGAGGGGAGTGGAGGGGATGAAACTGAATTGAATTGACCCTAGAGGTCCCTTCCAATTCTGAGGTTCTGTGATTCTACAAATGTCCTGCAGAGGGTGCGAGGCGACTACAGGTGGAGCGTCCATCCAGGCTGCGGGAAGGGGAGGGCAGCTCCCACTCGGACTTGAGAGGCCAGGTCTTTCTCCCCATCCCCCGGGGTTAGCGGGTTAGGGGGAAAGGGTCCCTACCAGCGATACATCAGGACCGGCTTCGAGTACTTCACGTGGCGGGAGCGGAGGGTGAGGGAACCTTTGCGCTCCAGGACGTCTGTGGGTCCCAGCTCCAAGTACCCGCGGCTGATGGGGGTCGCCATGGCTTGTTTTGGTCAGAGGCGAGACCTGACCAGGGTGTTCTTTCGTTCCCCACCTCTCCTCTTCATAGACTAGCTAGGGAACCCCTTGTTCTCAGAGCAGCGTCTCTTCGTCTCCACGGCAACTAGGGAGGGGAAGAGAAGTGGGTTGTTGTGAGGATCCAGGAACTGGAGTGTGCCCAGGACGCACAGAATTACATGTCCCTAAGGACCACGCAGCAGATGGGCCACTGGGGGAAAAGGTTAGGGCAGGAGCTTTGCACACCCAGGAAGGCTGGCTAAGGGAGATGAGAAAATTTGTTTTGAGAAGGGTCCAGTTAAGGAAGAAATGGAAAGGATACCACATTAACAGAGCCTGCCTCTGACATATACTAGCTGTGTGGTCATAGGCAAATCACTTAGTCACCATTAGATTATAAGGTCCTTGAGGGCAGGAACTGTCTTTTGCCTTTTGTTGCATCCCCAGCGTTTAGCACTTTGCCAAGCACATAGTTGGCTTTTGATAAATGTTTACTGAATTGAACTAAGTTTTAATAATAATAATAATAATAATAATAATAATAACAAACATTTATATAGCACACAGGGCAAGCATTCACATGGTGGCCATAGGAAGCAATACGAGGACCCTTTCAAGGTCTCTCTTAAGAACTTTGGGATTGTTTGTGGGATTGTTAGCTATGTAACTAGCACAGGACCGCTCAGCATAGCATGCCCACCTCAGAGAAGGTTCTAACTCTCTGAGCAAAATAGAATTTAAATAGCTCATAAGAAATGCAAGATGCGAAAATTTAGAGAATCCACCCAAATGTTCACATGGAATATCTGTACTCTACCTGTGGTAGAACATTCCACGCTTGTATCACTCTGATCAGCCATATTTGGACACACTGAAACTGGACTCTACCATAGTGATGTCATTTTGGTCGTCTTTGAGAATGACGTCCACTGTGCTAAGCGCTTCATGATTATTATTTCATTTAATCTTCACAACAACCCTAGGAAGTAGATGGCTATTATTATCCCCATTTTACAGATGAGAAAACCATGGCAAACAGAGGTCAAATGATTTGTCCAGCTCACCTAACTAGAAAGTGTCTGAGTCAAATTTGAACTCTTCATCCTTCTTCCCAGTTTAATGCTCTATCTATCCACTGTGCCATCACACCACTCTCAAGACTACTGGTTATGGAAGAAATGAAAAAAAAAATGCACCTCTCTCCTTTCATTTCAGAGGTGGGGAACCATGGATATGAAACATTGCATTGCTGTCAGACTCATTTGATGTGTTCACCTTTTTTTTCTTTTTTTTTTTGTTAGAAAAGATGGCTCACTTAAGTCAACTAGCATTTATTAAGTATCTGATATGTACTAGACATTGTACTAAGTCTGGGGATACAAAAGTAAATAATAACAGTCCCTGCTCTCAGGAAAGAAATTCACAATCAAATGGAGAAGACAATATTCAAACAATTATGTATAAACAAGATATGCAGGATAAAGTGGAGATAATCTCATAGGGAAGGCACTAAGATTGAGGAGGATTGGGAAACTCTTCTTGCTGAAGGTAGGATTTTAGTTGAGATTTGAAGGAAGCCAGGGATATAAGTAAGTTGAAATACTACTCAAGGGCAAAGGGGGATATATAAAGAAATGAAAGTGATATTAAAACAGCAGATTAGATAATCATCAAGTTTTTAAAAAGACTAGTTTGCAGATTTACATCATTGAAAGGAGTTTCCACACTGAGAGTTGCAATAAATTATGAAATCAAAGGTCAGGCTTCCCATCCCAACTGGAACCTTACCACAAAATAAAGGAGCAAATTGGTTTGTATTCTCCTTTTGTGGGAGTTGGTCCATCTTGTCTAATATACTGAGAGGGAGGTGTGCTTTACTTCAAATATAAAATGTGGCTGGACTAAAACAGGGGTTCTTAACCATTTTTGTGTCATGGACCCCTTTGGCCATCTGGAGAAGTCTCTGAACCCCTTCTCAGAAGCAATACATAGCATTACAAAGGAAACTAACTGTACTGAAATACAGTTATCAAAATACATGAAAAACAAATTCATGGACCTCACATTAAGAATCCCTACATTGGAAGATTTCTAAGCATCCAGCTCTAAATCCTACAACCTAAAAAAAAATGATAGAATTAGTTTTATGAGTTCTAAAACCTAGCACTATGATCGTATGATTATCCTCTAATATCCTATAATATACTGTGAGGAATACAAAGGAATCTGAAGACATAAGACTTCCTGAGAAGCAGTTTGTAATTTATTTGATCTCTTTACCAGAGCCATTAGGTGTTCACAGGACACCAAACTTACCCATGAAATGAGATTTTATGGAAAATAAATGGGTCAAAAGGGAGTACTGCTACTCCTCTTCTCCCCCCCCCCCAGAAATGTCTGTAAGACTAATGTGGAAATGCTGGCAAACTACTGTAGAATGTTATAGAATCACTGCTGCACACTCCCCTGGACTACAGCCAAGCTGCTTGGCCAAAGCACCTGTGTAGCTTCTATAAGATTTTTCAGCATCCTACTATAGTAAGAAAAGCACTAGACTTGGATTCAGAGAGCACGGGTTCAGGTCCAGGCTCAGATCCTGTTAGTTGTGTGTGACCGAGTGTCATACCACTCCGCCTCAGCTTCAGAGAGCTATCACTCTTCAGAGAGCTGTTACAAAGCAATTCATAAAACTTGAAGCATTATACAAATGTGTTATATGTGTGTGTGTGTCTGTGTGTGTGTATTTTATAAATGTGAAGTGTTGTCTTGATTATTATTCTTCAGTACAAAACAGGATTTGTGATTTCATTGATTATGAGTGCTCCTTCCAACCTATGTGTGCATATCACAACCTATCCATTCATTAGCTTCCTATGCTTTGGGACTCTTGTCCTGCATTTCCATAAATCCTGCAAAGTACCAGAGGCCTTCCTGAGGGATTTTTATGTAGACACCAGCAAGGCATATGTCATTGATTTATTATCCCATGGTTTTGTTACATGACCAATCCACCTCCTTTTCTGATCATACATCTCTTAAATGATATCTTTTGTGCCATTTCTTACATATAAATTATCACTGGCAAATATGCTGCAACCCACTTAAGCCTTCCATATATCTCTCCATTGCCACATGGGCCACCTCCAATTTTGGATTGTTGGAGGTTGTGGCATTCCATTATTCATAGCTAAATAACATGAGCAGAATAATACTGTGTTAAAAAGTGGATTTTTGCTTCTGGGAGAAGTTTAGGATTATTAAAAGTACTGCATAACTTCCCAGATGTAATTTAGCCTGTTCTCCCTCTCCCCCATCCAATTTGTTATTATTATAAAATTTAAAACATTACTCAATTAGCCAGCACATATGCACTAATAAGCTCTTAGGGCCTAACCACCTGAATGAAGTTTCTAACTTTTGTGGTCAAACTGTAGGCAATGCATTGCAAACTGAGTGGCTTGCATCAACCCAGTTTTGTGAAAGTACATTCTCTTTCATTAAAACTGCTGAAATGGAAGGTAAGAATCATCTGTGAGCTTGCTGAACTAAAACCAGGAGTTCCACTTGTAATGTTCCTATAACAGAATAAACCTCACAATTCTTGATAATTCAGACTGCTAAATAATGGAATTTTTACTGACTTAATTAACCATAACTGATCAATAACTAGCACTAGGTCTACAACCATGCACTTTTGTACAAAGTTGATTAAACTGTTTATGAGACTGCTTTTGTGAAGTCAACACATTTTGAATAATCAACAGGCTATATATACTTCATTCTCAACAATTAAATTGATGTGATTGATACAAAAGGAATTTCTGATTGCCTCCTGAACAAACACTGGCATGTATGCTGTATAGGGCATAATCCATATTAATGACCTGAAGCATGGGGCTCAGAGACTTTTAAATTGGTAGTGTGTTGAGACCACCTCAATCTTTGGGAGAGCCAACTGTTAAATTTTCATTGTAATCATTTACATCTTGTAGCAAATGCTACAAATCAGGTCTTGATTTATTATTTTTCTGATTGTCTTAGACTTAAGAAAGTGATGGAGAAAATGTTAATAATGAAGATTTAACTTAAAAGTGTGTCATGTGTATATTGGGCTCCCCCACCCACCCAGACGGTGGTTAAACATTTACCTATACACTTCTGTATTTAGTTCTACCTACTACTGTGACAGGTAGCCATATGCCCCATATAATATGTTTCACCTTTCTGCATTCTCATTATGTCCACACAGTAAACAAATAAGGGATGCCAAAAGGATCATATATGGCATGGCCTTGAAAACCACAAGCTAGACATCACTGGAGAAAATGTTCTTGCTCTTTTTATTTCTCAGAAGCCTTCTTCCCACTTCCTTACTTTAAAAAAAAATGAACAAATAAGGAGGTTGCTTGGTCTTCTCTTTCCTTTCCTCATTTGATTCATCTTGAAAATTAAGGTTGGGGGCAGCTACTTGGCACAGTGGATAGAGCACCACCCTCGAGTCAGGAGGGCTTGAGTTCAAATTCAATCTCAGACACTTGACACTTACTAGCTGTGTGACCCTGGGCAAGTTACTTAACCCTATTGCCTAGCAAGAAAGAAAGAAAAGGGAAAATTAAGGTTGGCTAAATGTGGTAGACTTGGGTTCTTCTAATTTGCTACATAATATAAACTCCATTTTAAGAACATCTATCTTTTTTTAATCCTAACATAAAACGATAAGTTAAGGAGATATCTTTTCACTTTAAAAAAAGTCTTTAGGAGCAGCTAGGTGGTGGAGCACTAACCCTGGAGTCAGGAGGATCTAAGTTCAAATTTGGATTTAGACACTTGACACTTACTAGCTGTGTGACCCTGGGCAAGTCTCTTAACCCCTATTGCCTTGCAAAAACAAACAAAAAACAAAGAAAAGTCTTTACCAGTTACAATTCCAAAGTCTGCATCAAGAAGCATGGTAGGAATCCCCCTTCTAACAAAGAGGTGATGCAGCTCTGGGTGCAGATTGAAATGTATATTTTTTAGACACAGACAACGAGGGACTTTGTTTTTCTTGAATACACATGCCTTCTTTTTTTTTGTTAACAAAGGTTCTCCCCCTCACCACCTGCACTCCTATAATCAGAGGGAAGAAAGAGAGAGAGAAAATTGATTTTTGTTAATTGAAAAAAAAATTAAGTTTGAAAAAAGGAGTACAATTTTCACAGAAGATTCACTATAGAATTCTCTTAAGTAATGGAATGCTCTATTGCACTTTAAATGATTCAATTTTCAAAAATTGTCTTATGTGAAACTATTTAAGAGCACATCTACCATATAAAGGAATGTATGCTAGTATTTACATTTAGTGATATTGCTACCTTGATAACCACATGCAGGAGGACATATTATCTGAAAGCATTAACATTGCACATTGTTACCCATAGAAGAAAATTATAGAGCTGTTCACAGTTCTTTTTTTCTTGCAGTAATGAATAGGGAGACATAAGGTATCATTAAAAGAATAAAGTTGTATTTAGCAAAAGTATACATATTCCATAGTATAGAATATTGCCAGCATTCAATAATGCTAAATTCCTATTATACACACACCATATACACATGATTTTTTGCCTATATTTAAATGATGCAGAAATAATACATAATCTGCTTAGTCTTTTCCCAGATACCCACAAGGATATGGCATACACTATACACAATATACAATACATAATGACTACAGAAAACAATAGCAACAAAACACATTTGAGTTCATCTTAAACTAAATCGACATTGTTATGTTGTTTGTCAATGTCCTTTTTTGTTATTCACTTTCCTTTTAATTTCAATTAATGTTCTCAGCGTCTCCCAAATGCCTTGGTAACAGCTTTGAGCTTAGATGGAGAAGATTAAATCTCTAAAGCCCTGAAGCTTTAATGTAAGAGACAAAGTATAACTATGCTTTAAGTTTTTCTTTTGCCAAGCATAGTTTACATTGCTAGTGATTTTTTCATCTGGTTCCAGTATTTTATCTTCATTCTTTCTTAAGTTTTTGGACCAGACCTGTAACATCTTTGGCAAAGGAATTCCTGATGAGTAACTTCCCCTCCCAATGCAGACCGATACCACCTCTGCAATTTAAGCGTTTTAGAGAGTTGTCTGGGTCAATAGGGGCATCTGGGTTGCACAGTGGATAGAGCACAAGACCTGAAGTCAGGAACACTCATCTTTGTAAGTTCAAATTCAGCCTCAGACACTTACTAGCTGTGTAACCCTAGGCAAGTTACTTAACCCTGCTTGCCTCAGTTTCCTCATCTGGAAAATGAGCTGGAGAAGGAAATGGCAAACCACTCCAGTATTTTTGCCAGGAAAACCCCAAATAGGGTCACAAAGAATCGGACATGACTGAACAACAACAACAACAAAATAAAGACCTCTCTCTAGTGATGGTCTAGTGAAAAATCCATTCCACTTTCGTACATCTCCAGTTGTTGGGAATATTTTCCAAGCATCAAATCAAAGCTTGTTCCTCTACAACTTAAACCTTTCACTCCTAGTTTTTTTAATCAGTGGCCAAGCAAAATAATTTGTAATCCCTCTTCTACATGAAAGGCCTTTCGGATACTTGACGACTGATTATTCTTTTCTCCAGGTTAACCCCAGTTCCTTCAGTAAGGCCTTGTAGGATGTGATTTTTGTGTCCCCTCAATGTTCGGGTCACCCTCTTCTGGATTCGCTACAGCTTCTCCATGTGCATCCTAAAATGTGGTACTTTTGCTGTGATCTTTTTTTTATTATTATTAGTTTTCAACATTCGCTTTTAAAAGATTTTGAGTTGCCAAATTTTTCTCCCTCCCTCTTTCCTCCCCCCTCCCTAAGACACCAAGCAATCTGATATAGGTCATACATGTACAATTGTATTAATCATATTTAGTCATGTTGTGAAAGAATCAGAACAAAAGGGAAAAACCATGAGAAAGAAAAAGGAAAAAAATAAACAAAAAAAAGTGAAAATAATATTATAGCTGTGGTCTTACCAAAGAAGATCTCATACAGTATAAATTCCCTCTTCCTAGCTATTAGCAACTTACATTTTTTAAAGTGCTTTAAGGGAAAAAACAAGTTCACTGACCTAAGGTTAAGAGCCCCTGCTAAAGTTTTCAAGGCATTTGAGGCAGTTTAGGTAGTGCAGTAGGGAGAGTGCTTCATGTGGAATAAAGAGATCTGAGTTCAAATCTGACCTCAGGCACTGCAGGCAAGTCATTTAACTTCAGTCTGCCTCAGTTTCCTCAACTATAAAAAGTGGATAATAATAGAATCTACCTCCCAGAGCTGTTGGATCATTTGTAAAGCACTTAGCACAGTGCCTGGCATTTTGGTGGTGTTTAATAAATGCTTACTCTCTTTTCTACTTCATGTTTTTATTAATGTGGCCTATGAGCCCATCATCTTTCTTGGCTGCCAGGTCACACTCTTGATTCATACTGAGTTTCTTATCCACTAAAACTCCCAGGCCTATCTCATATGAATTATTTGTTGTCTAGTCCAATAGCTGGACTCCAATCCAATCCAATAGTTGCACAATCAATTTGCTTCATCCAAGTTTAGCATTTTACATTTATACCTATCACATTTCATATTATCAGATTCAGCCCTTAATTCCGGCTTGTCACAATCTTTTGGGATGTTGACTTTCTGTCACTTGTTAGGCATCCCTCCCAGCTTTGTATCATCTGTAGATCTGATAAGAATGCCACCTCTATTTTCATCCAAGTCATTGATAAAAATATTGAATGCAATAAGCCTTACAATATTTTATATATCTGTGTCTTCAGCATTCATCAGAATTTAAAATAATGTCTTGTGCTTATATATCATTTTTATGGGCTTCAAATTTTTCATAATGGCAGTTTTCCAGAGGAGATTGAGGCACTGACCTAAGGTGATTTCCTCAAAGTTACAAATAAAGTCAAGACCCTAATATGGTAGTCAAAGTCTTCCAATTACAACAGATTAACATTTCCCTGTAGATAGAATTTGTCCATCAGCACATATTATCTCAGCTAAAAACGCAAATGGACAATGAACTGGGCCCAGAACAGAAGGAAAAAAGAGCTGGCCAGATTTCCTTTGAGAAATTATATTGTGCTTTTAGTGACCCCAAACTCCTCCCTGAAAAAGGCCATTCTTTGTATAACAAATATTCATCTTTTGATGCTATAAGGCTATAAATTATGAAATAGACTAGCATAGTCTCTGAAGGATTAAAATTGCAAGTCACCCAAAGGGAAATGGAGAGGTTGATGATGGCAGTTGAGTAGGGGTAGGCTACAAACATATTACTAACAAACAATCAAACACAAAATGTGACTTAAAAGGTATCACCAAAGTGATGTGCGACCATAAGAGGAAGTGAGCTAGTCACATAATGGGGACCAGGAATGACAAATGGATGGCTTCAGTGCTCCCCCACTATCCATAGATTATCAAAGATCTTGAGGGAGGCTCTCTGGGGAGGGTTTCCAGAAGGATATGGACAAGAGTCACATAACATGACAAGGTATCCACGGGCTGCACTACTGGATGTATTCCCATACTGATGAGGTCACAAATCCATTGAAGTTTGAAAGCATTTTTCTGGTGATTCTGTGTGGCTATGAATTGTGGGAAATGACACTGTAGCAAATATTTGGGCACTAAACTTACCAACGTACACAGAAAATGTATATAAAGGTATCGGAAAAATTTACAAGAAATAAAATAATTATTAAATCCTGCAAAAAATAAATGGGTAGAATGAGCACTTATTAAGTGCCTAGTATATGCCAGGTACTTTACAAATATCTCAGCTGATCCTTACAACAACCCTGGAAGGTTGGTACTATTATTACCCCCACTTTACATATACGGAAACTGAGGTAAATAGAGATTATGTGTCTTGCTCACCATTACAGAGCTAGTGTCTGACACCAGACTTGAACTCCAGTCTCCCTGACTCTTTTTTTTTTATTAAAGGGGCCATCCCTTGACTCACTTCTTAAAGAGGCCTATTCACTGAATGGGCATTGCCTCACTCAAAGTGAGAACCTTGAAAAGACCTTAGCTTAAAAGAGCCAGGGTCTCCCATTGCATCCTGAACTATCTGCAGATGTCCTGATGAATATCTGGCCCCTGGACCCAGATGGCTCTGGAGGAGAAAGTGAGGCTAGTGACCTTGCACAGCCCTCCTCACTCAAAACAAAGTCAATTGCAAGTCATGTCATCATCTCCTTGATGTCATGGTCCTCTTCGAGAGCGAAGGACAAACACAATCTATTCACTGGGCCACCTAGCTACCTCAGTCAATTTATCAAAACAACACAGCAAAGATGGCAATACTATCCAAGTTAATTATAGATTTAATGTAATGCCATGCAAAATACCAAAGGCTGACTTCAAAAAATTAAATAAAATATTAACAAATTCTTATAGAAGAACAAATAGATGAAAATATCAAGGGGAATTATGGGGGAAAGAAGGAAGGATAATTAGTATCTGTAATATCACTTTATATAATAGAGTAGGAATTGTCAAAACTGTTTGGTAGTAGATGAAGAATAGAAAAAAAATCAATGGAACACAATAGATAATTCAGAATTGGCAAACAATAGAACACTATTCAGTAAATCCAAGATCATAAAACATTTGGAAAGAAATCATTATTCAATAAAAACTATTTAGAAAATTGGTTGGTAGCATTGCAAAAAAATAGGCTTAGATCCACATTTTATATCATACACTGTAATAAATTCTGAGTAAATTATTGATTTAAACATAAAATATAATAGAAATTTAAGAAAATGGAATTTTATGCAATAATAATAGCTAACATTTATGTAGCATCTTAAGGTTTGCAAAATGCTTTATAAATATTCTCTCATTTTATCCTCACATTAACCCTGGGAGATAGGTGCTATTATTTTCCCCACTTTGCAGATGAGAAAACTGAGGTAGACAAAAAATACATGACTTACCCAGGATCACATACCTATGGTAAATGTCTAGGAAGTAATTTGAATTCAGGTGCTGCTGACTTCAGGTTTAACATTTTATCTACTCTACCACTTTGCTGCCTCTGACATACATGCTACAGCTAT